TTAACAGGACAATGATCCGAAATATCCTCCGACTCTGGGGCAAAATAGGTATAAATCCCACGTTTTTATAATCATGGAGTGACCTGCGTAAAGCCCAGAATTGATTCAACAGAAAACTTATGGAATTATTTGAAAATGCCACTGTTCAATTGCGAAAATTCGCCCAATCGCATGCAAGACCTTGGGCATGGCGTTGAGGAAAACCGGTGCGCGTTCTCAACAGAGTTCGTCTAAAACCTGTGCGAAAGTATCCCAAGATGACCATAAAAGCTAAAATATTAAAATTGGTTATGGCCAATTTATTAAAAGTCAAGCAAATGGTAAAATTTTCTGTCGGGTGCAAAACTGGAACAACTAGTTGCTACGTTTTTTTTGCAATTTTCTTCTTTATCTGCTTGTATTAATTATTGTTATTAGGGCCTTCTGATGAAATAAACATTGGAAATGTGAATTCCGAAACTAGATTATAAAAAAATTTTCTCATATTGCGAATATATTGCAAGAAAATTCACATTATGTATTACTGTTCCGGTTTTGCTCCTCAGTGCATTTATTTGTGTGATGAAAGACATGAGTACATATTTACATACATACATATTTACATATGGCAGTCGTTCAGAAATCTGCGAAGAACTTGACAGCACAGCAACAGTCGAAATTCCTCTTGCTGTAGATTTGCTTTCGTGCTGTAAAGGTCTTCATAGCACAGCAACAGTCGAATTGCATTTTTTCTTCGTACTGCTGTCGCTTTACTGTCGCGCTTGGCAGCAAATCGACAATACAGTTTAATTTTTTTTTGTTTTTACTTTCCCTTTGCTGTTGGCATTGAAAATTCTCACAGCCACAGCAAAGTCGAAGCAAATTAAAAAGAAAAATGAAAGCAATTTCAGACGCTGGTTGTCAATAAAGTACAGAGGCGCAACAAGGTCCTCAAGTCGCTCGCCGGCGGCACTTGGGGCAAAGACAAAGAAACGTTGCTGGCAACATACAAGGATATTGGCCGGCGGGTTCTAAACTATGCTGCGCCAGTTTGGACGCCGGGGACTAGTTGGACGCAGTGGACGAAGCTACAGACGTGTCAGAACGCCGCACTCCGGACAGCGACTGGGTGCCTTCTGATGACGCCTGAGCACCACCTACACAGTGAGGCCCAAGTGCGCCCCGTAAGGGAATACAACAAAATGTTTTGTAAGAAATTTCTGGTGGGGTGCCACAGAAGCGAACACCCAAACAGACCTCTGCTTCAGGAGGAGCCTCCGCAGAGGCACGTCAGGGGGCACCTATTCGTATACAGGGACGCAGTCCAGCAATGCGTAGACCAACCACTGGACCCGACGACATAGAGACGAGCCATTAACGACATCCATAGAGAGTCAGTCACCACCTACCTTGACTCTCGATTTATGAATGCCGTAATTGGAGCCCAATCACCACCCGTAGAAGAAACGGAGCTTCAATTGCCAAGAGAGACCCGCGTTACCCTGGCTCAATTACGGTCTGGATACTGTAGTTGTCTCAACAGCTACCTGTCCAGACTCGTCCCCAATATCCCCAATGAGTGCCCGGCATGTGGAGAATCCCCTCACGGCACCAACCATCTCTTCACGTGCCAGCTCAATCCGACTCAACTAACACCCCTCTCCCTCTGGCCCGACCCCATTGAAACAGCTGGTTTCCTGGGCCTCCCGTTAGTTGAGCTTGACGAAAATGATTGAATGTTGACCCGAAATAGGCGGGGCTTAGTAGTGCCGCTACAACAACAACAAAAGCGTGTCGTCCATTTCCGCTGTAGCGTATGTAGTGCTTAGTTTTAGGCGCAATATTTAAATACTTCCGGCGAGGCGACATCTACCTCTACAGTCGAATTGTATGTCTTTGATATGATACCTACCGACGAGGTTGATATCGAGACTAGGTTGTATAGAAACTTTGCTATAAATGGTGTCTGGACACACAGCATTGTAAGTTGATAAAAGCGTTGTAAAATACACTAGCTTACCAAATTTCAGTCGGATATCTCGAAAATTGAAGGACTAGGTTGCGAAGCAAACAGACAAATGGACTTGGCTAAATCGCCTCAGCTCGACATTCTTATCATTTTGACAATCATTTATGTGGATCTATGTATATCTTCCTCTTCTGGTACTTACAAATATCGGGCCAAATTTATAATACAATTTCATGTTTATGAAAGTTATAAAAAATGATGGTACTTCTTAAGCTTATAAATAAAAAAACTAATAGAGATACATATTTCAACACGCAATTAGGAGGAAGCTACTTTGTTCCACTTTAATATAAAATTTACAGCCAAAAGCGACTTCCATTATTCGTACTTCCGCAACCGTATGTCTATCGCTAACACATTGAAAAATAAGAATCGAAAGATCATGCCTTTTGCATCAAAGATATATGTACCTAGCAAAATGCTATCGCGAAACATACAAAAATAAATAAAAATTTATCCTTGTTTTTTGAACTTCAAAAGTATACGAACGTACGGTTCGCGACCGTTGCAAATGCCCATATGCAAAATTTTTTAATTAAATTTGTTCGACAAATTTTTTATAAAAATATAGTTAAAACTTCAACAAGAAAGAAAATATTCTTAATTTTGTGCAAAACTCGGGGATATTTAATAAATTTTGTACAAATTTGCAACTTTTTAATAAGATTTTCTACAAAAATTCCTAGTATCTATGTAGGATTATATCCCAATAAATTTTGGTATAACAAAGTGCAAGTTTGAAGTTGGTGAAAAATCGCATTGATTTTTGACAATTTTATCACGCAGTTTCTTCCATACAAAGTATGTTCGATAATTTAGTTGAATGGGCCATAAAACAACAAACGTACTTAAGTATTTTTGTTTTTTGTTTAGTATGAACTATGTTGCATATATTGTAAAAAATACCTTGTGCCAATAATTTAGTGCGGCACTGTACATATTTTATATTATTTTATTTATCGACTTTAATATAATTTTTAATAATAATAACTAATACTTTATTTTTTTATGTAATTCAATGTTTGATGTTTTGTAGACGACAGGTAGCTGCTCTTCCAAACAAGGCAACGCACCGGTTCCAGTATTTCATGACGAAAATGCCAACCCAAACTTGCCGCTTGCCATAGCTACAACGACGGAAACTGAAAGAGAAACTGCGGCTTTTGAAGAACCTAAATCGGTTGCCGGCTCAATTATTGATGCAGCACGCAATCAGGAAAATCGTAAGGAACCTGGTCCATGGAATAAAGCTCATGATAAGAAAACGCCAGGAAAGCTGTTTGCCAAAGTTCCAACTAATACCGATTTAGGATTTAGTATACACGAAGACGTTGAAATGGCACAAGATGAAGACGATGAATTCACCAAGCCGCTGCAGCCACCGATCACAGAAGGGGAACGTAATTATGATAAGCCTTTCAAATATCCTCCCAATTTTAAAAGTAAAAACTTACCACAAAAAGAATGGATCACACCGGTCACTATTGAAAATGAACCAGATTCACGAACGCTTCCCAAATATAATAAATGTTATATGTACCCTCGACCTAATGTAGAATTTCAGCCAGAGGAATATCTAGCATATCGCTTCTTTCGAAAGCGCGGCATATCAAATGAATTTACTGAAAAGCGCAAGCCTTATTGGTCTAATGGTATAGATTTCAATATACGCCAGTATCCCAATTTCGCGAAAAAATCTAGACCACAACAATTGGGTAAATCAGATACTTATTTCGAGCCAGAAAATTTAAAAAGTTTGGTCGTATGCTTTGGCAAGATGTATAACCCAAAAGAGAAAGTTGAGTACCAAGTAGAAGAGTTAATGGCCCAACGCTTACGTCGAAATGATACGATTTTGATGACCGCTGATATGGATGAGACATCATGCGAAATTAGCGAACGTGTTCAACGACGCAAAAGTTTCTTCCCCACCCGCAGATCCATAGCGCCCAAATATGCTATGACAGCTACAAAGAATAATGAAGATGAAGTTGCGACACAAAGAAAACACATTAGTGAATTTACGGAGCTTGAGACAAAAACTAAAGATATCGAGCCGGTTGTTGCAGTTATGGATAAAAAGGAAGTAACTAAAAATATCAATGAGCCTCCTGTACCTGCAACTAAATCCGAACTGCCATTCGAAATATTCGAAGATACAACTAGTACAATCACGCCCACAGCGCCGGCCGCTGATTTGGCCAAAGAAGTTGTAATTTTCCATGGTGAGGTGCCTTCTGCAAGTGGCCCAGATTTTATGTTCAAAACTCCTGCATTGCCTAACTCAACTTCCTTGGGGTCGACGGCATCGAAAGCCCAATCCACGAATAAACTCGGATTTGAAATTTTTTCTGAAACTTGTTCAGTTGAGACACAGCCAATAGCAAGTGCCATGGAAGGGGCTGTGGGGGGTGCAGTTTATGATCCTGAAGAAACATGTTCAACGCAAACATTTAATATATTTATCAAATCGCAATCGGTTAGCACACCAAAGATGCTGCAAAAAAGTGCACCACGCAAATTTGGTTCAGTTTTGAAGAGTATTCCGAATCCTCCAGAAATTCTGGACAGCCCAGAGTTTCCCTCTGCAGTTGAACCCAATGTCGATGAGCAGGAAAATGCTCTCAAAGGCACATCCGAGTATTCGCCAGAAATGGTAAAACAGCTATCAACCATTTTAGAAACCTCGGAGCATGGCACCACTCAAGGCACTCACACAACAGGTGGTACGACAACAAAGTCCAGTAGTAGTACTTCCGATGGGGAGGGCGAACGTGAGGTTTTAACACGCCTCATAATGCCACATACTGAGTTAGAAACACTAGAAGAGCGATCACGTGAATCGTCCACCATGCCGCCAGAAGTGGTTGTGTCCATGGAAAACATCAGTCTGCAAAGTAATACAACAACACAGGCCGCAAATATAGCTCGGGCAGCTGAAGATGAGATGGCTCATAAAGAGTTGCCAACTATTGCTACTACCACCGTTGTTGCGCAGGCAGCAACTCCGGCAGATATTCGTTTACAAACCGATGTACACATACCAGCTAACGCTTTAAATTTTTCTATATTCGAAGATGATCGTACTGAGCCGCTCAAAATTAAACAAGCTGGCAATTTTACGCGCATTGATGAGCCAGAGGACACTGCGGCTGGATATGCTATACGCAGTTTACGTTTTCAAGAGGACAAGACTGAGACTATGCCTAAAATGCTGATGCATTCGCGCTCAATAGTTAAATTTCAGGAAGACAAGACGGAAACATTGCTTAAAATCCCCATAGCACCAACTGCAATGATGCAGTTGGAAGCAGAAAAAACTGATACGAAGATTGCGCTAGATCCACCCCAACTGCCAGCTATTAAAAATGTCAGTTCGAATTTGGATGATTCATTTGAGTTTTTTGGACAGACTCCGCCTGGGAAAAGTATACTGCACCCAAGGTATGAAGTTTCTGCATTTAAGGAATGCATGGAGGCACGTACCCCAGCATCTAAACGTCACTGTGATGCCGATACACCAGACGTAATGCACTTGAAGGCAGCGCAAGCTATACAAAAGCAGGTAGGGTTGTGATTACATAATTGTTATAAGAGTAGAACTCCACATCAAGCTCTTTAGACATTACGGCTTTCAGCGCTCATGTCACAATATAAACGTTTAGCTGAATAAAGTGCTAAAAACCTGAAATGTGGTGGACACCTTAAAGCTTTGTCGAGTTCCACTTTATATGCTTAATAGGGAATAAAACCAACAAATATAAAAAATTTAAAAAAACAATTTCAAATTTAAGCATGAAAAAAAAAATAAACAAGAGAGGGGGAAAAATATAATAAATATAATAATACTAGTTTGGCGCTTGCACAATATGTAAGTGTTTGGCCGAGCTTCTCTTCCGATTTTGTGGCGTGCGCCTTGATGTTGTCACACAAAGGGGAGGGCCTACAGTATAATGCCGACTCCGAACGGAGGTTGTATTTTTATGAGAAGCGTTTTTCATTGCCGAGCGAACGCTACACACTGGGGCTTCTTCATAGAGGGCGATGCTCAAAACTCATTTTTCGAAAGTTGGTATTTAAGATCAAAAATATATACCAGCAGAGTCATAACAAAGTAGCAAATCTCGTGTATAAACATTAGGTTCCGAACTATTACCAGTTGCCGCGTACAACAGCTCAAAGTTAACTTTTCAGTCAGAAAATTTTTTTTCCGATATCGAAAGCGAGTTCATATGTGTTATTAAAGGCTGTCTTATTATGTTTAAGGTTACTATTAGTTTAGAAGGAACTATGTCGTTGAATAAGCAATGTGTGCTGATTGTTTTACAACTTTACATCATTACATAGGGTGGTATTATCACTTGCGAAGCGAATGATTTTGGCGAAGCGAACGGTTTGGAGAAGCGAATTAAAAGGAAGAGAAGGTATTAAAAGTGTTCGCGATGCAACGAACTTGCACAAGCTGGTAAAAGAGAACACTCTTAATGTATATTTAAGTTGCGTCCGCCAATCCATTCGCTTCGCCAAACCGTTCGCTTCGCCAAACCGTTCGCTTCGCCAAATTCATTCGCTTCGCAAGTGACAATACCGCCCATAATTTCAATGGTTTCTGAGATATAAGGAAAAAATTTGAATACACATTTTTTTTTCATAGTGAATTTTTAAATTCGTTTTTTTCTTTCTAAGACTTATTTTTCTTTTTAAAAGATTTGCACAAGAACGTTGCGCATTTTTGAGAAAAATATGTTTTAACGTGAACTTATTAAATTTTGTCAGGCACATTTGGTCATTATTTTATCAAAAATATGTTCCAAGTGGGAGTGTTTTAAGAAAAATTCAAACTAAATGGAAGAGAATGGTATATACCGTATGTATTTATTCTTTATTTCAATACTGTTAACATTATTCCAGACGGAACCCTTTTATCCATTAAAAATCGGGATTTGTGTGAAATATTTTTTAAAAGCCCGTCTAAATTACTACAATGAAAGTTCAGAGTTGTGGAACAATATATTTCAAGCCAAACCAGCTGCTTCGGAAAGAAAGAAGTTGCAAATATTTTTGCGCAATTTCAAGGGCTACATGACCTTAAAATGGATTAGATGCAGTAGACACAAAAATAGATTTTATGAATCGGAAAAAGCGTGGTTATAAAAAACTTGTCAATTTGTGGGGTATCAGATACCTAAAGGAGGAAGGCCCACTAAAGACTGGAGAATTTAGTGACCAGTCAAAACGTAGGAAAACGTCCTAGCTTCATCAAGATTATTCCCACGAACAATTAACGTTCGCAGCACAAATGAGCCTGCGAGCTAGTGGAAATCGCAGTGAAGCCTAACAAGTTCTCGACGCTATTAATCCCCCATCTGAAGAAACTTCTCTGAACTGCCGCATGTTTTTTTCGAATCACGAAATAAAGATTTCAAAGCGTGTCGTGAACGTTTTAGCCGAAAAACTTCAAGGAAAGCTAACCTTGAAGATGTATTTCATCGTCTACTTTATTCTTCTGATCCTCATATTACGAGTTTAAGACCTTTACAAACAGTAAAAAGAAAATCATTTGATCCAGAAGTAAAAGACATGCTTTTAGAAGAGAATTTTGAATATACACAACCTGAATCTGATGATTATATAGACGAATAAAATTTTTATCGTGCCTTGTACTGTTTTGTTATTGTTTCTATTTTAAGTAATCTTTATGGCCCGTTACCATAATTACAATTATCAATGTACAATGAATTAGTTTTTCAGTGTTTAGAACACGAAGTGACTTATTGGAAATAGTGGATGATCTGGGTTTATTATTTTTCTCTACATATTTTTCAATTTAACAAGAAAAAAAATTTGTTGAACAGTGTTAGTACACAAAATAATGAAATAACATTATAAAAATTATATTATATTTCCGTTTTGGATGTGTCTTCGTAGTTTTCAGGGTAAAAAATCCGGTTACAGACTTTTGAGCACCCACTTGTATGAAGCAGCCCCATTGTGCGGTATTAGGGAAAACTTTTTTGTTGTATTTTTTTGTATTATTATGAGAAGCTTTTTTCATTGCCGAGCGAACGCTATTAGGAAAAACTTTTTTGTTTTATTTTTTGATTAAAAGAAATTTATGTTCATTGTACATACTAGGGATGTTTCGAATGTCATATTTTTCACATTCGCATTCGCATTATTAGGCTTAAAGCTATAATCTACTTAAGCAATATTAGAACATTGAACGAGTGCTTAACCTATACAGTGTGGTAAAAGTAAAATAGAGCCAAAAATGGTACTGTTTGAGCCAAGGTGGCAGCCATGCACTTGGGACGCTAGCGGGTGGAGCGCTAAAAAATTTGTGGGCCAGATCTGTCAATTTGTCGTATTTTAGTTTAGTTTTCCACCACTCGATTTTCACCGAGATGAGCTCGTTTTTCTTTAAGATAGGTCTTGAATTGAGCTTTAATTTCACATTTTTTAATGTCTCCAATTCTAAATCCGAGCAACAATGATGTTTTTCAAATAAGGCAGATCGGAATATGCGCACTCTGGGAAGACAATACCTGTAACATGGTGAAATTATACCAGGTGTAGTAATACGAGGGAGAAGAAAGATTTGACACCATCTACAGATATATGTTTTCAATTTCACCATTACCTGTAATAATTGTACCATGCTGATACATGATATGTATTTTTATCATGAAATTCGAAAACTAAAATTGTTTTTTCTCAAATGTTTTCCATTTTCCGACACGATCGATCAATGCGTGTTAATTACAATGTCGATAACGAAGTTAAATAGTACTTCTATGCAATTAAGATATTAAATTTACACCCCTATTCTGCAACACTTCCGTATTCGGATTTTGCTTCAAATCGTAGAAATGATATGCTGCAATCCGAATCGTATCCTCGAACTTTCGAAATTCGTAACAATGGCATGCCTAAAAACGAACGAGTAAGCTTTTTTGCGTAATTTTGTACGAAAACAAATCTGTGTCGGAGGCGAGATAAAAGATGTAAATCTATGTGTGTTTGCAGGAAATATTAGTTCTGTTTATTTAAACAGATAAATTTGCCTTTCGAATATACGTATATTTTTATCCACTGCTTTATATAAAGGAGCAAAAAAGAATCTTTGTTGCCCCTTATCGAGAAACTTGGGTCCGGTTTAGTTATTTGCACAATGATTTTGTTTTGGTTGGTTTGATTGGTTGTTGGGTCCAAACGCAAGGGTTACAATCCCTAAGCGCGGCGAAGGCAGAAGCATGCGCAACAGGTGGTGGACCTAACAAAATGCATGTTTTCAATGGGCTGGAAGCGGTTATTGCATTAACTGGATTGAGAGCCAGTTCTTCAGGCATAGGAGGAGTTCTGGCTTGTGGTTCAACAATTCAACCAGAAGCTGACATGGATGCGCCCATGGTTACTATGCCCGGCAGCTCCGCATACCTTTCCGAGTTCATTGCCATAGCGCGCTCTTACTCCACTGCTGCAAATGCATCAGAATCCATAATTTTCCTCAAAATATTTAAAATCAACTAATTTTACTATAAACAAGCACATGATGAGTGTTTTTTTAATTCCTTTCCACTTTATTTTCCTTCATACAGCTGACTTCGAAAAACAACTGATAGCTGGCAATGCTGCACATTTTTCCGCAAGGGTTGCAGCATGTCGATTTTTCGTTTTTCGTAACGTAGCTACGAATTACGAACTACGAAAATTCGGGTTCTAGAACAAGGGTGTTATTAATTTGCTAGATCTCCCTAACATTTAAGTCCAGTTAGTGATCATACCATACTCATTATTTTTCATAGAATGCATAATTCTTGGAGATCTGTATCTCCAATTATACATACATATGTCTATATGTATATGTATGTGTCCTTATTTTATATGACAATTTTGGTTTTCTTCATTCCGCAGACTACCAACTCTTCATCGAAGAGTGCTTTAACGGCCTTCAAGGGCCCAGCACTTTTCGAGGATGAACTAGATAAAGGGGCATTGAAGAAAGATGCTCTTTCATTTTCTACCACCAAACCTCAGAGCGCCCAAAAGCCCATGGGGCCTTCAGTGCCAGCTGTACACAGAGTAATCGCGCGCGATTCGTTTATGCCTGATTTCTCTTTTATTGAGGAGTCACAACCACAACCGGAGGCCATTGCTGCCAGGACAAATACTCTGGCCAATGCCAATGCAAAACCGAAAGAGTGTTCGACGAATGTTATATTAACTACTGATACGAACTTAGAAAAACGTAAGCTGGGAGTGGAATCGCAAGATTTACATCAATCCGCTGCAAGGAAAGCTGCGGAACAAAATAACATACAGGAGCAGCAAGCAAAATCGGACTTAAGTGATTCCTACTTGAAAGATTTCTCTGAAATTATGGACTCACAACCACAATCTGATAATAAGTGGCATAGGTCTGCTACCAAAAGTAAGCTTACCGAAATACAAGCAACGAAATCAAGTGGAAATGTAAGTAATTCGTTTCTCAAAGACTTTTCGCTAGTAATGGAATCACAGCCCACCAAAAAGGAAAGTCAAAAAGAAATTGAATTTGTTAAAATGGTGGCGCCAAGCACAACAAACGACGAAGAAAGAGCTAAATTTGATCTTGGTAGCTCCTACCTTAAGCATTTTTCTATGGTGATGGAGTCACAACCATTTGAAATTGAACGACAGCAACAACTATTTAACTCTTCTTCCAATAAAGAAGAGAAAACTGAAAAGGAAGTCAAGAAAACAAAGATCCGCAATTCGGTTTTGAAGGATTTTTCGTTGGTTATGGAATCACAGCCCATTGTACATGAAAACCAACTTGTGCAAGATGGTTCGCTCTCTACCTCGACAGTCACATCAACGACAACAACAAAACCTCTCCCAATTAAACCTGAAATAGCTCAGCAAAGAATACAAGAAAACAACAAACTAGACTTAGGAAGTTCTCGCATTAATGATTTTTCATTTGTTCCAGAGTCACAACCTTTGGAAAATTGCAAATTGTGGCTACAATGTAAGACAGAATCAAATAAATCAAACAGTAACGCAGCTTCACAAAATCTGAATCCGACAATACACATTAACGATTCATACCTCAAAGATTTATCAATGGCTTTGGAAGCCCCAGCACGGGAAAGTGCAAAGAAACATCCACAAGAGCTACAAAAACTTGCTGTCGAGCCGAAAACACCAGCGCCAGCACCACCATCTGTGAAACCTCTAATGTTTTTAGATTCGTATATGAAAGACTTCTCTGGCTTTCAAGGCCCGTCTGGTAATAGAATGAGCGCAAAAAAGAGCAGTACACGTCTAACTTTTTTTAATGATTCGAAAAAAGCGAGTGACCTCATAAATCCTATGCTAACGGACGTTAACACCAATATAGAAACCAAAACAAGCGCTGCTCAAACGCCAAATAGACTACTCTTCCTAGAACAAAAACCTCGTACGAGTATACCTCACAATCCGCTAAGTATTCGCCTTTCCGGTGAAAAGTCCTTCGAGTTGAACGCGGAAACCGCTATGTTCTCCACAAATATCAGCATGATTAAGAATTCCACCTTGTTGCCACCTACCGAACTTAATACCGTACAAGCGCCAACGCCAATTAAGGAGTACTCATTGCACATAAAACAGGAAGATAATGTTTTTAAAACACCGCCACCGGCAGTAAAATTGCCGCCAGCTCCGCCAAATGCGCCAAACGTATTATCGCAATCCAATTTGCAGCAAGAAAAACGTACGAGTTATTCTACAGAAACTATGTCGGCAAAACAACAATCAGCTACAAAATCTTCGCTTTGCGAGAGTAAAATACCACAACCATTGGCCACTTTTCAAACATCAGCTAAGAGCATTACACAGCCAATAGCAATTGATGTTCCCGAGGATGGCGTTGAAGCTGATGAAGCTGAGGCAGAAATGAGTATATATTTTAAGCACACGCCCAAGACACCGAAAATTCAACAACATATTTGGAATGAAAAATCACCCTCTCCGAAAACGCCCTCACAGAATGTCTACGTGCATCGCGAAGTGGATTTGAATGCAACAGCTCAAATTATCGACAATAACAAGGAAGATCCGCAGGTCAATCCTTTTAATGGTTATCTGCAAAATGCCTTCTTAGAGCAAATCGAATTTAGCAACTACATTGCCGGATTGCCGACTTGCATGTTGGTAGGACATGTTTCGCGCCTAAATAATACAACCAAGCTGAAGGTCAACGATGCTGTATTTGAAGTGTTAAAATTAGTAGGAGAGGGGGCCTACGGCGCAGTTTACTGGTAAGCAAAAATTATTAATTTTAAAGTAAAATAAAGTTATTTTATTACTTCTTTTGTATGCTATCTTCACTAAAGTGGTGTGAATAATAAGACTGGAAAAAAGTATGCGCTCAAGCAGGAGCGACCGCCTAATTTTTGGGAATACTATATCTGTTTGGAGGTGCACAGCCGTTTGAATTCCGATGATTTGGTAAGAGTAAAAAATGATTTTTACAATACCTTTTAATCATTTAGTTCGACTGAAGCGTGAAAATTTTCGCTAGGTCCTTCATAGAGTGCCCTACATATTAGCACACAAATTCATAAAAAATAAGAAGACTAACTGTTATATATATGTCTTTAAACCAATTTTGTTTTTTAACCGACCTTAAAAAATAGGAGGAGGTTATCAATTCTTCGATATATATATATGGCTCAGTTCCAAGTTGCATTAATGCAAAGCATCAGCCTCTTTTATTTCTGAACTATAACTGATGGAAAAGTCCAATATGCGCAACCACTTCAAATGCCGAATTGGAACTTAGTTGCGCAAATTGGACATTTCCATCAATTATAAACCAAAATGTTTTGATATACAAATACATTGAAAAACAATTTCTTTTTTGTTTTTAAAACATTAAAATCT